AAATTCAGACCAATGTTTAAATGGGCAAAGGAAGGAAACCCTGGCAGTCGAGTAATGGCTATAGTATGAGAGGAGGTAAGTATTATTGGAAATACATTTTCTATTTAAGAAAATTAAAGCAACACAAGAATGGTTGAAACTATTATAACAACAAAACATGAAATAAAAAACCTTAACATAAAATTTACACAAGTAACTTTTCATTAACCTAAGGTACATATTTATATAATTTGAAGTTAAGCATGTGTGAAAAGAAAAAGACATTGGAGATCACTAAATATGGTAACCAAATAAAAAGAAAATTGAAATACATAATCAACACAATACAAACATAAGATCTTCATAAAACAACTTAATTAAAGTGTATACACAGCACATTATATAAGATAAGATAAAAAGCAGGTGATGGGCTAATTCTTGACCATAATCAGATTGTCCAAAACAGCATTGCAGTGTCAGGCTTCTGCTAACCCTCCAGATGATGTCCTTTGTTTCAGCCAATTCCTTTTGAAATTTCATCTCTCACCTAAGGTATACTGTCATTTTAGTGTATTTCAGTTTTTGCTGCAAAATTCATTTTGTAACGTGGTTCCTAATTTGGAAGATGAGTTGCCTGGATATTTGGACTGAAGAATTGAATGTTGGCTAAATTTCTGGCAGAACTCCAATCATTTTGGGGAAGTAAACAATGAAACTTCTACTTCTTGTCATCTGAAGGTGAAATTATGTTGCAAACAGGGAAAGGGTGATCATCATCTATCAGTGTGGAAAGTAGATGAGCATCTGCATTAACAAATTTATTTGCCAATGGAGTCTTAACTACATTCTGCAGCTTCCTGTTAAAGTTAACATTCTGGGCAAGAACATCTGGAAAAAAATGATTGTTTTTCTTTGGAAATGGTGAAAGAAATTGCATTAGTAGTGGATAACTTATCTTGTGATGGGTGAAGAACTTAGGCATCAGACTATGATAGCAGTTTGTGAAACTCACCTACCAACTACACCCTGAAGTTTTCTCAAACTAGCATTATATACATGGTTTCTGTACAGGTCAGGGAAAATTACAGAGATATATATATAATTTGGCTCTTCTGGGCATGAAAATCTCACTAAATTTCATTTAAGTGCTGTAAAATGGGATGTGGGGGTCAACTTATTATTTGTAAAAAGTCTGGTTTTCCCCATGCATTGACCTAGTAAGTCAGCTAGTAATAAAATATGTATCATGACATCTACAAACTCATTTTCTTTTAGTTTTATTTGGCCCTATTCATGGTTATCCATTACAGTGAGGAATTTTATGCAGATGAGATGATTGTTGTTTGGTCCACACATTTTTCTGCTGTTCTTCCCTGCATGAAACCTACCTCCTGATTTCTTCTAGTGAAGTAGGATAACCCTTTCCTTGTACCAAATAGTTTGGGTGAGGAAATTGATATGGAGAGTTACCTTTTGGGTTGGTGTACATCCTCCTTGTATGAGATTGAGTGGAAGCATCTATCGATTGGAAATAAAGCAGGAGTATCAACCTGGAATAGTACTGGTCACTACTAACACTAAGAACTGGATGTGGTCTATCACAGCTCCCATTAGCTCAATAGTTGGAGGTATTGACTAGGTGTCTTCCCTCTTGTCTATCACTGCTAAATTATTGATGGCTAGTGTAGTTAGCACTTTAGTAGCTTTGCACAGAATTCCAAACAAACCAAACTAATAGTCAATACTTATTTAAGTTGAATATTTGTTGTTGTTTTTGATTGTATTTCATTGTGAAGTATATAAAAGGCTTTTGTAGAATTTATTCTCTTGCTTTGCACAAGTTAAAAAAAAAGAAAAAGAAACATGTTAAGCAATGGTAAATTAGTTTGAGAGTCTGTTGGAAATTTTGTAGCTGATAATTGACAGTTTTCTTCAACTAGTGACTACTAAGGATAGTTTCCACAACCAGATAAATATCTCATGAACAATTGGCTTGCTAATTTAAATACCCTGCCAATAACATTGGCCTGTAAACAGTTAATGTATGATATGTTTGAACCTATTGCAAGTAGCTAAATTTTGCTACCGATCATTTTGACTGTTATGTGATCAATTTTTATTTACGAGCCTTTGAAAAACTGTAATTATGTATCTACTTTCGTTAAAAATTAAATTGTAAAAATACACATTATTTATTTTACCCTTTAAAGATGCTACAAAATTTTAGTTCAGTGTCACTTGTTAAATTCCCTCTAAAATTTTTTGAACTACTGTTGTATGTTTTATTGATTTTATGAACACTGTAGGAGAAGAATAGACTTGCATTCTGTTTCTTATTAATGATTATGTTTTTTAAAGCACATGCTTCATAGCATCTTAAAAACATAATTTATGATGGTCTCATGAAAAGGATGACACAGAAACATTTTCTGAAGACATGCTGGATTGTCAAAGTAAAATAATTATTTAAAAATTCAGGTAAAGAGTTGAACTACATACCATGATCTTTTTATATTTACTAGTTTAACAATAGATTGACAAAAAAGAATTTATACATGAAATGCCTAATTTAGCTACCACTAAACTTAAAAGGTCCTGGAATAGGTGTGGAATGTTGTCAACCCAAAAGTGTGGAAACCGTATATATGTAGCTGAATATATATTTTCCACATACTTGTTGTCTTAAACAAAGTGCATTCTGCTGTAGCAGTGGATTTCTGTACTAACTAAAACAAAACTGTATCACTTGTATTTACCAACATGCAGTTGTTAAATTTGTTTACCCAGCAGATGAAGTGCCTGTTTCTCAGTTACTGAGCGAAGCAGAAGTTCATATGGTACTGTAGCAGAGTGGTACGAGAAAATTAAAAGAAAAACAAAACTGCAGCCTCGTTTATAGTAATTTACAAATGGATCATTGCAGCAAAAGTATTTTGAAATGTACTGTATACGAAATATAGTATCACCTATACTGCAGCATGAATAAAAACACAAGAGAAGAAAATGTATTGAAGGAATTTTAAATACAACCAAACTACCACTTCCACAATAACTAGATTTTGGTCATTGCTACCAAAATTCATTTGGTTGAAGTAAGCTGTGTTAATTCAAGAATAAATCGAGTACAGGACCAAGTTTATGGAAGGATAGGTGTAGTGATTTGCAGTAGCAAAATTAGAGACAAGTTGAAGTTAAAAATATAACATTTATTAAATGAAAAAGAACTGATAACAAAAGGCTGGTTGTTGAAGCAGTGAATTATAATGTTATGATATAGTTAGAAAAAAAGAAACAAATGAAAAAGATAAATAAAGGTAACTGTGTGTATTTAAAGATGTATTTAAATACATATCACTGAAAACAAGACAGAAAAATGAATGTCTGAAAGTGTCAAAACCAGCATTCACAATTCACTTTCTCTGTCTGGCTGACCAACCATAAAATTGGATCACAAAAATATGGAAGTATTTTTGCTCCTTATGACAGTCATAAAGTATTCATCTGTATATAAAGTATAGAAGGATTCAATACATATATCCCATGAAACAGTAGATCGAATTTCTGATTGGACTGTGCTACAACAAGCAACATATATGACTAAATTTAGCACATTATCTCAACCAAATTTAACATGTTCCAAATTATAACTTGGAAAATAAAAATTGGATATGAAGTACACACTGGCAGAGTGAGATATGTAGTATTTCAGTAATGACATTGTAATGACATAGCTTTATACATTTGTATTTCACAATAATATCTTTAATAAGTAATGCTCATTTAGAGCTTAATTTTAAATTTTAAAATAATTTGTGTCAAAAATATTGAACCAACAATGGAATGTATATCAATTAGACACAGAAAGGACTTAGTTATTATGAAAGTTTACACAGTGGTATATGTTCCTGAGGCATTTCTGTGGAGACTTTATTTGGTACTAATAATTTGCGAGAGAAGAAGATGAGTAGAATAAATTATTTAATCATATGGTTGAAGAGGCATGACAAGTTTTGTAACATACTGTTAGTGTATGGAGTCTCAGAGGTTTGTTTCATTTTTGCAGAGTTTCTGCTCATTATTATAATGAGTAAATAACAAATGTCACTTTAACTCTTAATATGCAACTTTCAAGTGATAAATTAATTTGAAGTATCTTTCTTTATTTTTCATCAAGTACAACAGATTACTGATGAAGCAAGACATGTATATTTTATATAGCCATACAGACACGGTAATTATGTCAAATAGAGAGCGATATATTGCTCAGATTCAACTCAAGTGTACTGTACTGAATTTTAATATGAGTTGAATGTTGTTTTCAAGTTGTAAGATAATTGTCATATTTGATTGGGTTAACAAAAATGACTATCTCATTGAAAATTAAAATCTTTGGTCCAGAAGGAATTTTTTTCCCATCCACAAAATGTAATTTCAAGCACTGGTTGCTCATTAATGCTTATTGCAATAACAGGTATTTTATTTTCAAGTTATGCAGTATTATGGTGGAGAATTTATTTGAATTTCAGTATTTGATCAACTATTTTAGTAACTTTAATAATTGTATTAGTTTTGAGTAGTTTTTTTTATAGGAATAGTATGGCATAATATTACAAGCCAAGGAATAAGAAACATTGAGTTATTTTTTTATCAGAATTCTGTTGCTGTTGAGAATGTTAATATCTAATAAAAATCTTGCTATGTAAGACTATTATAAATACTGTACCGTTTTACTGATAATCTGAATTTGTTACTCTTAACTTTTTAAATTTTAAAGAGGATCATTGAACTTAATATCATGATGCTTTTTTTTGACATGGATGCATTTGTATGCTAGAAATGATTTTGCAAAAACAGTATGAAACCAAAGGTCTATGTAGGACAGTATATCATTTTGCTTGTAGGTGGAAATAACCTTAGCTAAGGTTCATGTAGTGCAAACATTTTGTAGAACTGAAAATTTTTTATTGCATATCCAGATTCCACTATACTAGATTCACTGTCGTCTTTAATTTTGTTTCCAGGTGTATTTAGAGTGCCTTTCTGATCAACGATCTGAATGGATATCAAAGGCACGAGACTTACGATCTCAGTATGAGGAGATCAAATATAAGGTAACAAATCAAGAGATTTCTTTATTTTTTTTTTATTAAAATCATTTTTTTTTCAAACAGTTGTTGAAATGTAGCATTTCAAATAATAATAATATGGATACTCTAACCCACTATGGTGCAACTGATGACAAATGGGCCTTATCTAGCACCAATAAGTGATTTTGTCTGGCCTGTGTACTTATTAATTCTCGCAAATCTTACCTAACTAAAAGCTTGCTCACAATATTCCAATTAAAAGAAACTTCAAGTGCCTTTTTTTATGTCATTGGGTAAGTTGAAATCACAATATTCAACATTTGTTATAGAACTTGTTTTAAACTTATAACCAAGTAAACTTTAAATAGTAAATTTTGGCACTTCAGTGGTTGTCCTTTACAGTCTAGCTTTTTAAAGGTTAAAGGCTGGACCACCTTGCCTCTAAACCAACCAGTTCTTGAAGCTCTGGAACTAAGCATTGGCATTATCATACAGTGCAAATAGTTTAGTTGCCATTCTATTTTTACACATGTGCTTTTGAGACCTTGAACCAGTTACCTTAAAAATAAGCTCTCAGAATGATTTTTGAGCATTACATTGCTATATTATACTTGATTCTTTAAAATAATATATGTTTAGCCATCTCTGATTTTATAAGCTTCTGTAAAACTAATTGCCAAAAATTAGTCATAATATGATTATGTCAAAAGTTAAATGTTATTTCACTGAGAAAAATTAAAACACAAATGTTGTAAAAACCTTTTGAACTGAATAACTATAATAAAACTGATTCATTTTTGGTAAAATGCTTACCTTGACATTCTTTACAAATAAAAACAAATTAGATGTAGAATAACAATAAATATATTAGACATAGAAAAACTAATTAGAAAATAAGATCCAATACAAGAGAAGTATACATACTTAAGAAAGTTTGAACATATAGTGCTATGTACTGAAATTGTATTGAATATAGAAATGGAATTCTAGTATGTACAGAAAGATTTCTTAAGCAACCAACAAACAAAGAATTTATGTTGCAACACATTTATTTTTAAATATGAAAAATAATAAAACAAATATATAAAAAAATATTAAGACCACAGCCATGTAATGATTAAAAAATTATCCATTATATCACAGCTGGCTGTGACATCTCTCTTTTGAAGTCTGCAACTTATCATTACTAGCCATGCTTGGCAACTCAAAATAGTCCAACACATTAATATAATAGTTTGAATATGATAGCAGTAGATGATCCTGGATTTATAATCCTATTGAACTCTTACAATAGCAAACATGACAATCTTTTGAAAATGATATTTTGATATGGTACATTACCTCTGTTCACATAAATAGCTTTTTTTGTTCAGTGCTACCCCCTTATATGCAAAAAAATTGTTTATGCATGTCACAAACCTTTAATTTCCCACTCAATTGGAATTGACTGATTCCAATGGGTCTCTCATGCAAATCATCATGTGACAACCATCCACCAATAAGAGTGCGACATACTCTCCTGACACATTTGACTCCCTCTTTTCAATACTACCAAACTATCACTTCTCGTTTGGCAGTACTCATGTTACAACATTTAGTTTGTGCTCTCTTCAAGTGTTTTATTTTAATATTTTTCTGTGTCTTTGTATTAATTTCTCACAACAAGCTTACTCTTTATTATACAATAATGATATTTGTAACTTGTTGAGTTATACTGAAGTGGAATTATTTTATATTTCTATGCAGTTACAGAACTTATTTCTTCATTACAAAAACGTTTTATTTGTTTCTACCAACACAGTTGTGTTTGGTTATTTTGCATTATGAATTCTACATTACCACTTCAGAGTTATATGTTCTATTAGCACATTTACACAGGCTTCAGGTTGTGGTACTCCGTGGGAAGATTGGGAGATTTATTCTTTGGTAGTTTCCCTCGGACGTTTTCGTAGGATGCTTCTTTTTTCCTCGCACCAGTCCCTCCACCCATTCAATGTGGGATTCTAGCTATTTTTGTGAGAAGAGGTAATATACTGTATCAGAAGTTATAATTTTCCTGTATTGAAAATGTATTTTTGATAGGTATTTACCTCTTCTCACACTTCCTCCCCACAGAAAGCTGGTGCTTCCATTTTCTGCCAAAACTCGAAGTGATAGTTTGGAAAAATTGAATAGAGGGAGTAATATGCATCAAGAGAGTATGTCACTCTTTTATTGGTGGTGGTGGTGGGGGGTCGGGGGGGTTGACACATGATGATTTGCATGAGAGATGCATTGTAATCAGTCAATTCCAATTGAGTGGGAGATTGAAGGAGGTAAGTACCTATCAAAAATACATTTTCAATATAGGAAAATTATAACCTTAAGACAAAATTAAATTGTCCTCATATTACCATCCATGACCTCTACACGATTTTCTTCAACTACTATTTTCCCATTTCAACTGCCTTTATATTTACAAACCTCATTTGCATTAGATATATATAACAGTGACATATAGTGCAATATAATACAACTAATCCAAACAAAACAAGAATAATAATACAGTAGTAACAATAATGAAGAACTGTTGAAGGAAGAAAGTTATTTCAAATATAACTAAAAATGCAGGCCTTGAAGTGTCTTATGATATCATATTGTTATAAGATAAATTTTTAATTTTGTAATTTAAATGTTAGCTAGAGGATGCTGCACTGATAATGATAATGTTAAGATTAAAAGGGTTTAATTAAATAGGCCTAGAACACCAACTAAGAAGTTCTAGCATATTCGAAAATATATAATGTTTATGAAATAGTTGTGAAGTGTGTAGAATGGTTTCAAGATACAGAGCGAACCAGTCAGTGTGCTAGCTATCAATTTTACTTTGTACCAGTAACTTTACTTGTTTAATGTTAACTCTTTCAGCACAGGCTCGGTTCCTGGGACTGACCTCATAACCATTTTGTACTTGTTATAGTTCTCATTCTATAACTTTTAAGTTAGTAAGCGTATGTTAACAAAAGTTGGTAGATTATCAGTAAACATTACAATGCTTTTGTACTCAAAATATAATTTTTTTTTATTAAGTCTTAAGGTTTGTTAAGCAATGTCTTTCTCATGCCTTTTTTTTCTTTTCACGTGTTGCCTGTCCAACATGCAAAGTAATTTTCATTTGAAGGTTAAAAATACTTTTATGCATCAGAAAATTTTTTCATTTCACATGTGAAATCTTTATAATGTCCAAATAGTTATCAAATGTTTCTTAAGAAAAAACTTCATATTTTATCTATACAGGTTTGGTAGATTTGACCGATCTCGTAACCACCATAAAAAATTAGGAAATAAATGTAAATTATGCCTCTTTCATTCTGGAACACAGATTATAACACGAAAACATAAATGTTTAGATTAAATAGCTTAAATCTCATAACATTATACATTTATATATATTTATTATATTGACCTTTCAGCCATGCCTGGCTAACAATGCAGAAATTACAATGATGCAGCATATGTTCTTTCATGTTACTGTATCCACTAATATTAAAGTGACCTTTAGTCTTTACTAAAGTAATCTGTCTTGGTTGTGTTTTAGTTAGACTAGTAT